AAGGGAGGCGGTGGCCCTGGCGAAGAGCACACTCTTCGGGGCTCCGAACATTTCGAACGGATAGGCTACCACACACACACACACAACAACAACAACAAAAACAACAATGTGGCTACTTTTGATTGGGACCTCAGATGGGAATGGTTTGTTTTCTTCATCTTGATTAGTCCTGCCTAAGATGGCCCCCTGTCTTATACACAACCACTTTTCTCCTTGACAATGGATGGCCGTCTTACACGTTTGACTGTACATACTTCATCCTGTGAAAATATTACTGCCTAGCCTGTTTACTGTAGAAACTCATTTCAACTTATTATGATTTTCATGGTTTGGCTTAAAATCTGAACAAGTAAAACCTTATATACGAGGTCTTGGTATAGAACCCTAGAAGCGCTCAGTGTTTCACAGGAAGTAGCCCGTCCAAAATGCCCCGCCGCTACGGCAGATCGGTTGTAAACATGGGGGTTTGGCAATGGGGTATCAGCTGAGATACCAGAGTATTATCTGCTACTGAAAAATGACCATTTACGGCTTAACAGATGATAAAAGACATATTATAAAACCATATAGATCTTTTCTTAAAGCTGATAAAATGAGCCATTCAAAAATGATAAGCGATCAAATAAATACAAAGCGCAGAATGTGATGAACTCAACAATTCTAGAACATTAGCACAGCGGAACAAGTGATAACACATAGCGTGTAGTCGCTCAGATGGACCGATCACTTTATCGGTCGATATGTTGGCCAAGAGACGCTCTACGAGATCAAGATAACTTGCAAAGTCATTGGTCACTATTAACTTTGACCTGTAATTTTCTACGTCATTTTCCATATAAGGAATACTGAAATTTACCATTGAAAAAGGTCAATGTCTATGCCCTTTATATAGAGCCTGCGCGGTTCCCGGTCAAAGTAGGTCAGCCCTATATATAGGGCCTGTTCGCTTCCTGGGTAGCCCGGCTCACGCCCTTTATATAGGGCCTGCATGCCTCCAGGGTTGACATAGTAACTTAATGCTCTCAAAATGTGTATGAAAGTTATCCCCATCAATAGAGGAAGGATTGATATAGATGAAAATGACAGCAAATAAACCCAAGCCCGTTTCTCCCTGTTGATGAACTCTGTCATCACGTGAAACTTCAGCTAAAATATTACATGGAGGCTTTAGACCCAATCCTTATAACGGAACTGGGGCTCACCTTTCAGCTTCATTACCCTCTAAATTTTTTCGTCCACCACATGTTTGTGGTCAAAAGGAAGTAAAAAATCTATAAATGTAAGTACATTTATTTCTAATGACTGCCGACAATGTTTTTTTTCGCCACAAGGAAGTGAAGTCTTGTGACTGGAGGAATCAACATGATTTGTGCCCGTTTTGTAAAAAAAAAAAATTTGAAAAAATGAAGAACCACTTACTGCAGTTCTTTAAATAGAAAAATCTTGTTTTGTGAAAAGGGAACTTAATTTTGGAAGTTGCTTCACATTTTCTTGTAATGATACCGATTTTTCCCAAACTTCAAAAATGGCATTTGTCGCATTTTATAGCAATGCCCACCGAGCACGTTTTGTTCTGCCGATTTTTGGCCCCCGCAGCGGGGGTGTTTTGTGGGACGCACTAACGCAAAGGTTGTTGTCTTCAACTCGCTCTCACGCCGCTTCTCGTGAATGGATATGAATGAAACTTGGCAGCCAATCAGAAAAGAGGTCAATCTCGTAGTATGCAGTTTGACAACATTGTACCCATCCTAGAAGCAGTCGAAAACGTTTGTGAAAGTGGTTGATGTGGTGCGCTTTGAAGATTTTTCGGAGCTGTGATTTGTCAAACTGACTGATACGTTGTACACCATTTTTCTTTATTCCCTTAAAATTTCAAGCTTCTGTGTTTAGCGGTTTTCGCGTAATCTTTAAAAATGTGGGAGTAACTAAGGGAAAAAGCGGCATTGCCATTTTCGCGACGACCTGCTGCTGGGAAATTTCCACTGAGTGACGTTATCAGCCATCGGTTGCCTCGGGCGCTACAAACGAGGCCCCGCTTATGTGAACCGGAAAGGGGGGGAAGGATACTTGAAAACTAAACGGGGGCCTTGATAACTTGCGTTTTTGTTGCATTTTAGTCACAATACAATAGATCTTGTCATTTTTATTTGTTTGATTGCATGACAGAAGAATAGAAACAGAAAAGCAAACATCTTGAGAAGTGGTATGGCATTGTGTTTGCGTTATGAAAGCCTATTCCCCCCTCTTGGGAAAGCACACACTTGGACTCGTCCTGTATGCTCTGTTTGGAAAAGTGAGGCATTAAGATTGTTATTAAAGAGTATGGTACTTATTTAATCCAGTCTGGGAAGATAGTCCCGTTTATACATTGTTATCGTTCACGCGTGCGTGCGTGAGTGCGCGCGCGTGCATGTGTGTGTGTGTGTGTGTGCGAGTGTGTGTGTGTGTGTGTGTGTGTGTGTGTGTGTGTGTGTGTGTGTGTGTGTGAGAGAGAGAGAGAGAGAGAGAGAGAGAGAGAGAGAGAGAGAGAGAGAGAGAGAGAGAGAGAGAGAGAGAGAGAGAGAGAGAGGGGGGGGGGTGTAAATATGTTACATTTATTGTATGAGTTGTAGCCTACACATGCGAAATATTCCCATGACTTGTAAACTATATTATCTGAACGCATCTTAATCTACCACACAATAGGACACTGTCCAACAATGGAATATACACAGAGACGATCTTATTTTCTGTAACGAAGTATGCATGCTTTTACTAGTATAGAACTGGATTTATTAGTCGCTCTCTACTTACATTTTTGTGACAAATTGATCCAGAGCATTGCTTGGCAAGGAGGAACCTTTTATGTTGCCAAGTTTCATTCAAATATCATGACTTTGGGAGAACATATGACTGATAATCTTTGTAAATCTGTAAAGAACGCCACTTTTTTTTACCTGTTAATGTCTTTACAACTCAAAAAGTATGACAGATATTAAAAATCTGACTGCATGACTAGATTCTGCATTAAAAAATGTACTAGACTGCCAGGTTTCATTTACATATTCCAAGAAATAGGCGAGCTATGACAAATATTGTCTCAAAATGCACCGGAAACCGCCACATTTTTACCTATAAACGTCTTCATAACTCAAAAAATAGGATAGCTATGAAAAATCTGAAAGCAGGACTAGATTCTGCACTACAAAATGTACTGGGTTGCCAAGTTTCTTTTAAATACTCCGAGAAATGAGCGAGTTATGACGAATATTGTCTCAAAACTCACCAAAGGACGTCCCATATTTGGGGGTTTTTTCATTATATAAAAGTATACCAGAAATTAATTGATTAAAAAATCTGTAACTTTTTTGTTTATTGATGGATTTCAAAAATTCAAAAAGTTCCATGCTTTCTGAAGATAAAGCTACAAAATGCACCTATTTGCAAACACTTTCTGGCAAAAAAAGGATTTTCGTGGTCATTGCTACATTTTATTGTGAAACTATTCATATTTAAAGATCTGATATGGAAAAATGGAGGCCTGCCTTCACCTGTAAAGGTGTGATGGGCCCTACAGTTGAGCTGAGCTACACACTGAAGAAATAAATTTGCGACAAAATTCTGTGTACAGAGAAAGGCAATGTTGTATAAGGGGAAAAAAAACAACATATTTTTTAATAAGCTTATTGTAATTTAAAGTATTACTTCATGTCTTGGGGAATATGAAATGATGGAGACAGTTTTGCTTTGCCAACACAAGGCTAAGAATCATAAATTAAAAAAACAGTGCATGGCCTCTGGAAGTTTATCCTCTCTGTGATTAGTCATATGTGACACCACTTTGAGTTGTAGGCTTACAAAATGACATATATATCTTGTTTTTTATTTTTTCGTTTTGGTAAGTGTTTTACAGATCTCGCAACTGCATAAGGTCATATGAGTGTGCGGAACACATTAAATATTTTCAGTAGTTTGGTAGGAATTTTGAATTTTGCCCGGATGGTGGCTGAAGCCTATTCTTATTGGTTTTAGGATCAAGGGATCTTTAATGTGCGCCTCTTTCACTCAGGACCTCTGAGATTTTTCGCCCCTGTCTGAGAAGTCTAGGGTGTTAGATCTTATGTACAGCAGTAAGAAGGAGCCAAGGAATAGCTGTAGAAAGGCTGTGGAAAGAGTCTGGAGCCTAGAGGAGGTGGACAAAGGGAAGGGGGGGGGCAGAAGGTGGAGAAGAAAGCAGATGACAGAACACGGTAAGAGAGTAGGAAAGGAGGTGAAAGGAAAACATTTTAGAAAGGAAAATTTTCCATGTCGTTGTCTGGTTTCGAACCAGAACCTTTTAAATGATAAGAGAACTCTGTAACCTCTAGACCATGAGATCCCCCATATATATCATATCTGAATGATCATGTACTTCATTATGCATTTTAAATATACTGTCAATAGCGACTTTAATTGTTAGAGTGCAACCGTCTTATTGTTTTGTATAGTACTTTTGGATAAGTTTATTGATCACTGCATATAAAAAATTCATGCACAGTTGCGTCTCTTTGGACAAACTGATGCCCTTTACTGGGCATCCTGTTGACCAATTTGAATACCTTACAGAACAATTTTCTCTTACAGAATTCACATGAATTTGGGAATTTGGAAATGAGAGAGATGGACTGTAAGTTGATCTTAGTTATCAACATTTGTTTAAGAACTTCATGGTAGTTCACTTATCAGTAGTTGATTTTCTTTATTTCCTCCTTACAGCTTGTTCAAGATTTTCTTACGGATGATATAAAAGTTCAAAGCACTGGTCCATTTGCTAAAAAGACACAGTTGTATGTTGGTAAGTAAAATGCTTAAAATAACGTCCATTTCCAAATTCCCAATCTTTTGAGTCCTAGCCTCCCTTGATTCTGGTTTATTCCAAAGTCCCCATAGTCTGTTACAGAAAAAATAGCAATTCTACTGTACTTTATAAAAACACTTCTCATATTGTTATTGTTGCATACAATGAGTTCATACTTGTTGTGAGAACATTGAATATTCTATTACACTTTATTCTCATTTTTAAAAAAATACCCCCCCTCCCCCACCTAAATTTATCAATAAACGCTATTTTTTTTGCACTCTCAAACTGTTAAAGGTTTCATGCCTAAGTAAAAAGAAAAAAATTGTGAGTGGCATATAAGATGAACACGAGAGCACATCAGATCACAAAACTAAGTTTTAGAAGAAAAAAATAGTCCTTTTCTCCATCATCACGTTATACCCTATATACAGCACTCATGTCCTATTTACTCAAACTAACTCAAAACAGACCCTTTGCTTTGAAAATGTCAGTAAAATGTAAAGATAGCTTCTGGACAAAGAGCAAGAACTTTCTTTAATTTTAAACAGATGTTAGAAAAGCCATGAGCTTTGTGAATAAAACACACTATACATTTTCGACAATCGTCAAAATTGATACTCAACCTTTAATTTGACAGTCTTAGAGATTGGGATCAAAATATAAGGGTTGAATGTTTTACTTTCTCTTTTATTATGATGATAACGAACTAACGTGGGAAATCATTGTAATGGCATAGACTTATGCTCTTTGTCTTCTGTTGCAATTGGCTTTTTCTTCTTGTAGATATTAGTCTACAGTTATAAAGAAACATTGTTACATTAGAAAGCTTGTTAAATTGGTTTCTTTAACTGTGTTTTCTTATTTAATAGTCCCAGTGAATAATTTTGTCTTTTTTGCTTTATGTATTTCATTTAGCTTCCTTCTGGGGCATCAAGGACAGTGTCAACCAGCTTCTTGAGGCAGGAACAAGTATGTTTTGGAAGATCATTTTGGATTTAAATATGTATGCCTATCCCCAGTGAATCATGCCTTCATTATAGTTTTACTAGACAAGGTCATACTCATAGTATAGAATCGTGAGGGCACACGACACACACACGCGCACACACACACACACACACACACACTCTCTCACATGCACATGTCTATCAATCTGTCTGTATGATTTTCTGTGTGTCTGTCAGCCTGCCTGCGTGCCTGCCTGTTTGTTTGTTTTGTCTGTCTGTCTGTCTGTCTGTCTGTCTGTCTGTCTATCTGTCTGTCTGTCTGTCTGTCTGCCTGCGTGCCTGTCAGTCCGTCCATCCATCTGTCCGACCGTTCATCTGTCCTTCCATCAAGTTGCCTGTCTATCTGTCTGTCTGTCTGTCTGTCTGTCTGTCTGTCTGTCTGTCTGTCTGTCTGTCTGTGTGTCTGTCTGTTTGTCTGTCTCCCTGTCCGTCCGTCCGTCCATCCATCCATCCATCCGTCCGTCCATCTGTCCTTCCATTATATCGTCTGTCTGTCTGTCTGTCTTTCTGCTTCTGTGTCTGTCTGTCCATCTGTCTGTCTGTCTTTCTGTCTATGTTTACCTATAATAAAACATTTGGCCAGCTAAAATATTGTTTGACATTAAATTTGTTGTGACAAGCTGATCCATCACTACATATTTGAAGCTTGCTCTTTATCTCTCTATCCTGTGCTAAAGTGGGGTTGAATTTGTTGTTGACAGGAAAATACCCCTTTATCAACAGTCTTTTGTCTAAAATATCTGAACTACCAAGTTCTTGCTTTTAGACTGCATATTCCGTACACCACATATCGACTGCTCACTGTTAGGCTCCGTAATCCGTCACTCTTCAAAATGGCGTATTCCGGAGTCTTACACTTTGCAGTTAATATGTTATCAATGATGCAATCCTTAAAGCCTACATCTAGTATAATTGAGGAAATAATGCTTTGCAAGCTTTGCATTCTTCCAAGTAGATTGATTTATTGACAGATGGACAATGGATACAGTGAGAGGTAAATAAACAGACTGACTGACAAACAGACTGAAGTGCTGACAGAAAGGTACAGTGGCAAAATTTTGGTGCTGGAATGTCAGCGACTAATTGTGTTTAAGAGAAATTCAATTTATTTCTGCAGTGATGTTCCTTTTGTGCTGCTTTTTAAATACATAACAAATTTAATTGCTGTCTGTCTGTCTGTTTTATTAATGCAGGTGAAGGCAATGGGTTAAAAGAGGGTTTGTTTTAGTGAATCTGATCAGGATTGGACAAGTTGAAAATCTAATCAGGTAAAAGATCTATAGCAGTTGTGTTAATTCTGAGTGTACATGGTTTCTCTGGCTTCATATTTTTTTTATTCTACTTGTTTTGTGTATTCAGATCCCAATTTACAGAATGAGGAAACACTGTGGACACCTTTACATGCAGCAGCATTTCAAGAACATGGCCCAGTATGTTATTCTTATAATGTCTCTTAGTTTGCCCAGTTAATTTACCTGGTTCAATTCTCAACTCGTGATGTATTTTTAAAAATCTGTACACGGGTCTGTTTATGTTAAAACTTAAAACCCATCTCCATCCCCCCTAAAAAAAAGAGAAAATACTAAGAATTTATTATGTCTCTTTTTTCTGCTTTATTTAGTGATTGTCTGGGTGCACTGGTAAACTGGATAAAAATGTTCACCTTTTCGTGCTAACCAATACAGTGATGTCTGCCTAAAAACACCAGATGTAAAAATTTAGTCTGTTTAGCCTGCTTTTGCTGTGAAGCAGATTTTTTCTCTGTGGTTTGAATGCTGAAGATCCTGTTCTATATAGGCCTAAATAAAAATCTGACTGAGAGCCCAGTCTCAGCTATAGGCAAGAACCTTTTTAAGTGTCCATCTTTGTTATATTTTGCAAAGAGGCCCTCTTCAAGGCTGGACCAGTACATAATGTACAATGTTATGGAGTCAAAATAAAAACACAGGTGTGAGGGGGAGGGAAGCAGTAGGCACTCTCACACCTTCCATATCCTTGTTTCAAACTTTCAAGCACATCGGCTTGCTGATAGATCACTATTTATTAAGTAAAAGGGAAAGAGAGATTCGGGTGAAGGGAGTTGGGAATGGCATGGGCTAGAAGATGACAAAATCTGAGCCCTTCATGCATAGTTTCACTTTGTTGTTTATGTTGCATCTAAGCTGTGCTGAACTAAGTGGCCTTTCGATTGATGTAATTGCTTGTCCCTCTACCTAGGTGAAAGTGTCCAATACTTTTTTTAAAAAAGCTGGCCCCTTCTGTCAGTATTTCTTTCCCTTCACTTATGCAGCACATTGCAACTGACTGGTTTCATATTTCCAATCATTGTGATCATACTGCATCGCTTGACTAAAATGCAACACTCGTACACATGAACACACACATATTGATTGAAAGAAAAAAAAAGGAAAGAAGCCTCTGTTTTGTCTCTCAGGTGTTGGTATTGTTTTAGTGTCATATTTCTATATAGAATAAACGAGAGAATCTAATGGGCAGGAGCAGATTTTTGCCCTTTTAAATCCAGCTTACTTTCCTGTCCACCTTAAAGCCGGCTGTTTTGTCTCCTGACGACTAGGTTCAAAAGGGAAGACCCATCACTTTGTACTATGTCTTTATTGTATAGCAGAAATGCGATTTTTTTTTTTCTCAGTTTTCTAGGTTCTGATAATTAGCATTCCTGTGATGTAAGAAAGTTCAAATTCTGAATAAGCTTCCTCATTAATTGAGATTCCTTCTACATTAAATTGAATATTGTTTTTATGTACATTTAAAAATCGCAAAAGAAAAGATTCAAGCATGTGTCCCAGGGAGTAGTGGATTTATTTATTTCCCCAGGTGGTTATGTCCTTGCTTGAATATGGTGCTCAACCTGAGCTGCCTGATGCATACCACAGGTGATATATTTTTACTGAAAACATTCATTCTTTTCTGTTCTGAGAGATATACTCAAGTCCTCACATTCACACTCCACGCCTACAACCTACCCATCTCTATGAAATTTAGTTTTAGTAAATAGAATTGTTCGTCTAATTTTTCTCACTTTATCATTTGTCTTTTTGTGTATTTAAGACTATCCGAGCATTTGTTTGTGTTTGTTTATTTGTGTGTGTGAATTATATGTTTGCAAGAGAAAGAAAGAGAGAGAGAAAGAGAGAGAGA